GCTTTCGAACTGCTAGGTTGGCAAAAGTTTAGAGCAAAACATGAATGTTAAAAGTTTGCTGCTTCTTCCACGGCTGAAACTAACGTTCTGTAGGTCCCATAAAAAGCGTACTTTATTAATCCAGTGTGGTGTTAAATAAATCCCAAAGTTAAGGCATGGAAATTCAAAGGGGGGGGAGGAGGGGCTGGTATGCAGCACGCCACCAACAGCTAAGAAGAAAAATACAGCCTGTGTTGAGTATTTCCCTCGGGTAGCAAAGAGAGCAGGAAGATTACAAATATACAGACTTTGTCTTATTTCAGCCTATGTGCTGAAATTCAATTTCCCTTTCAATGCATCTGGGGATAAAAGGGAACCTTAACAATATTAGAGTACACAATGCCATCTACAAACATTGGGCAGAGCTGTGGCTCGGAGGCAGAGCATCTGCTCGGCACGCGGAAGGTCCCACGTTCAATCCATGCCACCTCCACTAAAATGACCTGGCGGCAGGTGCTGGGAAAAACCTCTGTCGGCGACTCTGAAGAGTTGCTGCCAGTTATAAGCAGACGTTACTGATTCTGATGGACCAAGAGTGTGATCCAGTACAGGGCACCCTCATGAGTTCAACATTATACCGCTGGGAAGTATGACCCACAGGGTCGTGACTTCATTATGGCTGAGGAACAGGTAGAGTTCTGAGTCTGTATAAGACTGGAAGCCAGGTTTTAATCAGGTTGCTTTTCCCCCTCACATCACTGTGTCAATTTGTCTCTGTTTCTGGCGGGTTATTGGCCACGACCATCTGGATCCTTGCTCTCCTGACAAAAATGGAACCAGTGGTTCTACAGCACTGCTCTCAATCTGGGGCTAGCAGTCAAATACATTCGGGGTTGGTCTGGATGAATGAGCGAGGCTTCATTCGCCGTGGAAACACACTCAATTCCAGAAAGTATTAGACAATGTGATGTATATTTAATAATAATGATAATAACGTCTGCTAGAATGTTATGGGCTAAATACTGGGAAACAGATAAAATTCCACGTGAAGAAGAACTGACTAATAGACTGTTAAACTTAGCAGAAATGGACAAAGCAAATGTATTAATGCAAGGCAAAGATGATGAAATCCATCAGAAGAGATGGTCAAGGGTGTATAGTTGGATGAAGGACAAAGAAAAATGATAGACTCGAATTATACTGAAATATGAAACATATATGTTTGTTTATATGTATAAAAAACAATAAAATATTGTAAAAAAAAATCTGGGTCCAGCCTACCTGAGGGACCGCCTTTCCCCGTATGTTCCCCCAAGAGCGCTACGGTCGGGGCCCCAAAACCTTCTAACTATACCGGGCCCCAAGGAGGCTAAGTTGGTCGTCACGAGGGCTAGGGCTTTCTCGGTGACGGCCCCTGCCTGGTGGAATGAGCTCCCGGAGGAGATCCGGGCCCTGCGGGATCTGGTGCAATTCCGCAGGGCCTGTAAGACGGC